GGGTCACAGGGCAGATGTGAATTTCTAAGATGGCCAGGCTTTTTGCCATATCATATTCTTTGGTGGGATTTTCGATAAATTAAACGTATATTTGCTATAACAATCGACCATGTTACTTATTTTTTGTATTTAAGTAGAGTTTCGAGACTACCAGTAAGTTACTAATATGAGATGTATTCACCCAATTTCGTTTAAAGTGAATACATCTCATATTAAAAATAGTATTAATATGAAATTCAACGACAATAATGCAAATTCAGTTGATTGTTTCATATTCATCTTTCAGTTCTTGCTTCAGCCTGTACAACCTAGCGTGACTACAATTATGCTGTAGCATAGTTCTGCCCCAAACCCACCATAAGAAGGACCCTTTTCGAGCAGCCTTAAGTTGGAGGCACGTACCGGTCAAACTCATCCTGTAGTTCATTGGCCCTTTCCTGTACAATGTCGAGTAGACTGGTGACGAGGCTGTTCTTGCTTTCCAAATGAGCCAAATAGGCGCACAATTCCCGCTCGCGCTTCTCAGCTTCCTGACGGGTTTCGCTCAGTGCTTCGTCCATCCTCGTAGCCTGCAGTTGGGCCGATGATGTCTGTTCTCTCGAGGCAGTCAGATCGGCGCTAACTTCGTCTGGAGGGAGAAGAGGGTGAAAAAGAGAACTAGGCATCAGCAAATGACAAGGGAATATCATTGTACAGACACGTATTTGAATAAACAATAACTGGCTCGTTGCAAGACAAAAATGAGTAGTAAGTAGTTCGTGAATTTGTAATTAAAAGACTAGAATGAAAGGATAGCAGGAAGTCATCGCTCGGCATAGCTTGGCATCGAAAATACTCAATTCAATGACAGACTATTTTGTATTTGTATGCTATGCATTCCTCCTATTTGATTTAGGGTGATAAGGTGACTAGTAGTTGAATTTTCCACAATGATATGAGTAGGAATGACAGTTCCATTGCATTTCACATAGCCTTGCTTTCACAAAAGTCATTCTCATCCAAGGTGGACTGCAGCCTCCAACTCGCCTAGGTCTTATAAACACCTGCAGTGGGACTCAGACCAGGACAATGCAGCTTATGATCTTGACACGTTAATTGCTACACCACAATACCTCAAGTGACCTTGGGCTACAGGGAGAATGTGAAATGCACCATATCACATTGTGTGGTGGGATTATCGATGAATCAAATTTGTATTTGCTAAGGTTACTTATTTTTTGTTT